TTTGCGAGAAATGAATGAAACGATTGAAACAAATACTGAAAAGCATTTCATTTCACAAATCAATGCTTTGAATGCAATTCAAGACAACAATTGTTTGATTCGTTTGAATGACAAACAAATTTGTGGTCATTATCACCATTTCAGAGGTATTTTCAAATTAATATTGAATTCACTTTTAATTACTTTTTATTGAAAACAGTTTTGCAATCAATTGGTTCTCAAAGAAGTGATGAATTGAATGAAACAAAAGACAATTCAAGACATGAAACACAAGACAAGGGATTGAGTGCTGAAGACATGCAATCAGACAATGAATCCGAAGGTATTGAATGCCATATGAATCGGGAATCAAGTGATGAGACCATCGATGGATGTGTTGATGACAATCAAGACATGAGTGAATCAAATGTGTGTCCAATAAGTGGAGGAATGGGTTCACAGACAATGACAACAGAGAGCAATGAATGCCTTAATAATAATGAATCAAATGAAGACAATTCAGAAGCGATTGAAAACTTGATTACAAATGAAACGAATGAAGAGAAAAGTGATTCAAATGAGAGTCAAAGTGAATGCCATTTAAAGACTATATCAGACAATAATTGCGAAACAAATACCAGAAAACGAAAACTCAAACCAATTAGAAGTGATAACACTGACAACGAAACAGATGATGAATATAACGACAGTACGATAACTGACAAAGAAATGAGTGTCAACTCAGACATCGATAACTGTTTTGGATATGTGTGCGCTTACAAGGGGTGCAATAAATGCTATACTAATAGCAATGATCTTCGCGATCACCAAATGTCACATTCGGGCCAAAGATTATTCTGTGACTTTAAGAACTGTTGCAAACATTTCTCACACAGGAGTACCCTATCGACTCATAGGAAGTCCGGTAAACACGTGTTCGGAGAACCGTTCGTTTGTGTCCACAAAGAATGCTTTTATGAAACCAAAAACAAACAGCTTTTTAAGAAACATATAGAAAATCATTCGTTAGATCTGCCGAAGACTTGTTTATTCAAACCATCGATGACTTCTTCAGCCAAACCATCGATGACTCCTAAAGCGAAACCACAGAAGACTAAGGCAGTGAAACCACTGAAAGCCACAGAAATAGAACCCCTGAAGACTTCTTTGACAAAACCACAGAAGACTTATTCGAAAAAGGATTTGATAACAGTATCGGAAATAAAGCCCAAAAGGGTTAAGACTAAAGCGATTGACATCCAGAGCGAGAAGATTAAGAATTATAATAACATTTCGAGTGATGACCATAAGAGTGCCACTCAAGATATGGATCCATACATAGAGAATGCAACGTTTGTGGCGCACGAAGAACTGGTGATCACCACAGAAGACAATCAACAGCTGATGAAGACGTTGCCGGATGACAATCGACGCTATAATTTGCGACAAAGTATTAAACGAAAATCGAAATTCTGTGGCAAGAAATGGATGGACAACACGGACTCCGATGACAGCGAATCCGATTACGACCCGAACGACGCCGAAGAGTTCACGTTATCTGCGTTTAAGACAAAGAAGCGCCGAAAAGACTTCAAATGCGATTACAGGGACTGCAGGAAAGCCTATAGCGAAAGGAAAGACCTCCGCGATCACCAGACGCTCAGCCACTTAGACCGCAGGTTCTTCTGCGATGTCGGCGACTGTTGCGCACACTTTGGATACTATGGCGCACTCACCGATCATAAGAAGTCCGACGATCATCGGTTTGGACAGCCGTTTGTGTGCGGACTCCGTGGCTGCGCGTATGAGACGCCATCTCAAGACGGCTTAGAGGATCACATCAGTGGCCACACACGCGATGTCCAGATGTCTGATCGCGTCTATTACTGCCAACACGACGGGTGCGACAAATCGTTTCTACGCAAAGAGGCCTACGATCGACACGAGCACATCCACGCCGGTGTTACCTACCAGTGCGACGTCGACGGCTGCGAGTACTCGAGTCTGGCGCCCATGGATGTAGGCGCGCATAAGCAGCGTAAGCACGGCGACGACTACCAGTGCGAGGCCGAGGGCTGCGACTTCAGCACCGGATGGAAACTACTGTACGAAAAGCATCTGTTGGTCCACACGGATGAGCACCCATTCCAGTGCCCGATGAACGGCTGCCACCGAGGGTTCAAATGCGAGGAAGCCATGACCGACCATCAAGTGCGCGTACATCCCGACGAGTTCCCGGAGCTGCCGATGATAGCCTGTCCCCACCCGGGCTGTCCCTATCGGACCAAAATGCAAAAGGTCATGAATGCGCACATGAAGTCCCACTCGAAGTCGCATTTGTGTGAGGAGTGCGGCAAACAGTATAAGACACCACTGCTTCTGGAGAAGCATAGGTCGGCGCATAACCCGGAGCTGAGGGTCCGGTGCGAGTGGCCCGGCTGTGACATGACGTTCAGCACTGAGGAGACGATGAAAATGCATTTGAATACACACACGGCTGAGGTGACGTACAGGTGCCAGTGGCCCGGATGCGATCACACGAGTTTGCATAAGAATACAATGCGTAATCACCTGCGTAGAGCGCACGAGGGTCTGGAGGCCTACCCTTGTCTGTGGCCTGAATGCGATTTTAAGGCTAATAATAATCGCGGTCTAAATACCCATATTAGGCGGAGTCATCTGAGGGACGGGTATTATAGCTAATGGTATTCAAGAGTCGTTTGAATTGATTAACGGTTTGTTGTTATTATAAATATTTGTTTAATTTATTATTAAATAGAAATAGCAGTTTGTATAGCAATTTAAGACTTATAAGTGATAAAAATACAAATTATTTTAATTTTGTACTGTTTTTTGCGATACATTTTAACTACACATTAAAATTGACTACATTTTGCGATATAATACTCGAAGTTCGTGACATAACTGTGCTGTGAATGTCACACATTTAATAAGTTTTAAAATCTCAGACTAATTGAGATTTAGTTGGTTTTTGTTTCAAATCAATTGCTTTCCCGGTATATAACGATACGAAAAGCGGCAAAACTAATAGCGATAAGCATTAGACCGATGACTACGAACACAAATGCGTGCACTTCTATGAAATGGCCTAAAATGAGGGACGGGATGAAGTAGACGAACCCCCACGAGAGCCATATACTGGTGGCCATGCGGTCGGTCACGTCGATGATTGTGCCGAAAAAGGCTAACAGCGCCGGGAATAGTATGGAGACACCGAAGCCCACGGCTATGCTTGAGATCCAGACCAGTGTCTCATTGTTTTGCGAGAATATGAGTGAAATAAAGGCCAGGAATGCGATCGAGAAGTGGATTTGGATTATGGTTTTGGTCGTAAACAGTAATGTGGCGAACAGTTCCAAGAGGTGGGCGCCGGTATATGTGGCCGATATGGCAGAGGTTACGGAGGCGGCCCGAGAGGCCGATAGTCGGACGGGTATGTACTGAAGGTATGTGACGGCGAAGTCCGGTATTAGCGAATCGATTGAGTGTATTGTCCCTAAACTGACGCAAATGATAGCTTTGGTTAACAATCGCCGATCGGTGACGACAGGTATTTGACGCACATCCCGGTGCTGTTCATCGACGGTGTAGTACTGCTGTATTTTCACGTATGGTTTCATGAGAAACATTACGAACAGCATTAGTGGACCTGAAGAATGAGTTATTTATCAAATTATACCGTGCAGTACATAAATTGTTGGGAAAGCCTACCGACTATATGGATACAGGCGCTCACCATAAAAGGCACCACCAGTTTGGCGCGCCTCTCATCCAAATCCATCGCACCGTTAGTCGCGTTGAATATTGTGTTATTCAGTAATGTTTGTAATGAAGTTTCCGTTGAATTGAGTGGTGGAGCGCTGGTAGTTATGGTGTGTTCACCGGTCAGGTAGGGTCTGTCGAGCTGTTCGCCAGCGAACTGTCCCAACCCGTGCATGAGTTGCGAGAATAGCAATACCCGGACGGCCTTCTCCTGCCATATCTCGATGAGCCACACGTTGTAGGCCGTGAGCCACGCGCCGGCAGTTATGCCCAGTATGACAGCACAGGTGTATAACTGCCACAAGTGTTCCGAGAATGGCATCAGTGTGTTGAACACATTCATCATAATCAACACAATTATCACTGTGATCTGTCGGTTCACATACCTGTGCAAAAGTCCTACTGTTATATGGGAAAGGGATTAAGAGTTTGTAATTGATTTGTGTTTTTAGATTTTGAGAATATTGTACACAATTTGTGGTGTTTTACGAGTTTCAGTGCAATTCCTACTCACATAGTGTTCCCGTAATAATACCCGCGGAATATAGGGTCGGGATGTAAGTGATATTCTCCAGGGATGTGTTTAGTATGTATTTGAAGTCTACAAACGCCGGTCCTATTAATGCATATTTCATATACTGTTGGGATTTAAATATAATTCAAATTAAAGTGAATAATTATAATATAATTATTATAAATGTCATTATAAGTTTGATAAGTTATCAACGATAAGAATATAGCATATGATCAAGTACCTGTATAACAAATAGTATTGCATTTGAATTAAAATTATTTATTTCAATTACTTACAAACGCGAAATGATTTAACAAAAGGATGAGTGTATAAATCACTTGAATGTATCCCACGTCAAAGAATTGATTTTTCACATAATCACGGACTTCATACCATAAACTCATATTTTAAACTTCAAAAAAGCCTTATTTCGTAGAAAATAGTGTTTACGAAAAAACCCTTTTATTTAAGTTTAATCATTTAACTGCCATTGAATTAGCTGTACGTTTGTATTATAAATTAACGGTGAAAGCAACTATTGTTTGTTTTATGAGAAACTAATTCACGAATAATTAATAATAAATAATTGTTAACATATTGTTGGTCTCTAATACAGTGTTAACTAAATAAGAGTACATACATGCAATACATTGCCATTGAAATACATGTGCCACTTATGTGACAGATTATACTGTATTAAAAGTCTGTGTTTATCGACGCTATTATAAAGTGCATGAATTTAAAAGTATTTTTTCTGTGAACAAATATTTATCTGATTAAATGCTATCATATTTCGCTATTTGTAGTAATTTATAGTTTAATTTCTCTACACTTGTCTCGATATAAATGATTGAAAACAGTTCATTCAAAAAGTCCAAAAGTGATCCTAAAGTTTTGTATATTCATAAACTAACTGAATATTTATTATGAATAGTTTCATAGGCATAGAAATCGTGTAATTAATCAAATTGTCTAATTAAACTGTTTGACCATGGTAAATAGTTATAAAAATACAAAAGTATTGAACAGTATTATGAATGAGTTAATAAAAGGTATAATAAATGATCATAATTCACTATATAAGGCACGCTTTTGCAATTAGTCATATAATATGTTACATGCTAGTATTGGGTGAAAAAAATATTTGCAAGTCGTACCCACGACTTAATAATACCGGGGTTAATAATTTGAAAAAATTGTAATATTATTTATGAATTGATTTAAAATATTCATTCAATTGTTTACTAATCAAAAAACAAAGAGTGAGACACTCTCTGGTCGACCTCCACGTGGTGTGTCTTGGTTAATGCTAACTGACCAGTTGATAACATTTTGGTATATAAGTTGTGGGTTGGGAGTAGGGAATCCCATTGAAAACTCAGCACTATCATGTAACATTGAATTGCAAATGACTAATATAAGGGGATCCTAAACTACATTCAAATATAATAGTTGTATGAGTGGTGCAGTACACATCACTATTTGTATTTTACTGTGTTTATCAAATAAAATGTTTAAAATCATTTAAGTTGTATTTATTTAATCAAGCAAGATTAATATAAATAATTAAGCAAGCTCTATCATATACGATAACCGTGAGCCGGGTGTCGGGTCGACCGCCCCTGGAGCTTACAATATTATGTACAATAAATAATTTAAATTATTAGAAATAAATCGACACCTTATGCTTAATATTTAGTTTTTAAAAACATATCTAATACTCTTTCAAAAATAAATTACAGTTTTATATACTTAAGTTTAAATAATAAATGGCTCTTATAGACTAATATAATATAAATTATAATAAAATTTGTTAATTGAGAAAAATTACGAGTTATGATGAGTGTCAAACCACCTTGTTATTAGTATAAACTTTTACAATCTTAATATTAATAATAAAAATTTAATTTTCAGTTTTTTATTTATACAGTTTTATTTATACAACAAAATGTAAACTACAAATTATATACAGTAATTTATTATTTATACCAATAGCATTTATGATTAATATATTTCTAATAATTTAAGGTAAATTAATATAGTTAACGCAATAATCTGAAATAAGATACAATAGTATGTTAAAATAAAATTTTTAAAAATTATCATAATTAGCCTAGTACCTCGTATCCCCTGAATGTGTTAATAATAAATAGATGCCAACAGTGAAAGCCTACTTTTTTCGTGCCAACCCTTTCCATTAAACTTAATAACTAAATATACAATAAATAATTAAAAATATTAGCAGTGCCTGAGGTATTAAACCCATTTGTTAAATATTTAGCTTTTCATAATATTTTTAATAACTTTTTAAAATAAATTACAGTTTGTACATACCTTTAGTTTAATTAATAGATTGTTCCTGGTAAGCTTTCCACAAAATAATGTATTTAATAACTTATAGGACTTATTGGCCTC